TGATCACGTGTGAAAATTTCAATGTATAAATAGAAGGTTGACTAGAAGAGATTGTAACTTGTGGTTAAATGTGCTATTTACTTATAGAAAAACTGCTTACGTAAGAACTAGAGCAAAAGGAAAATGTAGAGTGGTAGGAAGTGATATTTATTTATTACCTTTGAGGTGGTTTGAGGTTGAGAGGAAGGTTAGGCGTGTTATTTGCTGTTCACATGACAGTACCTTCTGACCCTTTGATCCCCTGCCAAAATTTTTTTTTTTAATTTAAAAAGGAACAAGGTAAAATAAACTTATCAATTCATAGTCTGATTATACAGTATAGACTATCTTCTGCCTGTTTTCCAGAATCTTGGAGTCATCAGAAGTGAAAGGTATCCAGGCTTTTTGTTTTTAGTGTTTAATTTACTGTTGCTCTTAAAAGGTTCTTTGAAGGAGAAGTTTCAAACCATTAGCTAAAATCTCTGGGATTTATAGCTTTGTGTTTTTCCACTGTTACTATTCATGGGTCTTAAAAACCGAGGTACATTAAACAGTTCCATTTTCGTTAAAATAGGAATTTCATTGCTTTGTAAATAGAGATTTTTTCTTCAAGTGGGAAGGTGTTAGGTTGTATTTTATATCTATTTAAAAAATTTTTTAAGTATAAAGTGATGTTATAAAATCAACCAGAAGAAGATACCTTTGAGTTTCCAAAATAGGTTTGATGATGTATTCAGACTTTTTAACTTGAAATTTCAAGTATGTCTTGTAGATTCTAAATTAGACTAAAAAAAATCTGAATATTTCCAGTGACTTGGTGACCTTACTTATAACTTAATTATCTTTTTAGCTAAATTTTAGTTCAGTTGATAATTTAAGTGCAAAACTATGCATGGTGTGATCTCATTTTCATATTAAAAAGTAACATGTTACTATATGTATGGGAAAAGGAATCTGGATTGATAAACATCAAACTGTTAAGTGTTGTCAAATTAGAGTGGTAGAAACAATAGGTCCTAAGAAGTTGGTTTTCTTTTTTTTTTTTAGAAGTTGGTTTTCTTAAAGGACTTGTACGATTCTGGACTAAACATCTTCAGATGATGATAAGGTTTTTTTATCCCCCCTACTTCCTATTAGGAATTATTTCAAAGATTTTTAACACTTGTTTATACAGGATTATAACAAGATTTTGTTTGCCTCAGGCCATAATCATTGGACTTTATGAAAGTGCTACCTCTTTGTAAAGTGCATGGAGACCAGCAGGTAAAGGATCCTATCTTAGTGTAAATCTTCAAAATAATTGTCTTCCTTGTACCAGCAGTGGTGTTAATAGCAGCTTTTGTCAGTTAATACTGCAAATCTCTCTGCAAGAATGAATTGAGTAAAATAGATAAAAATATTTGCTCATGCCTTTGACAAGTTTATCGTGATATTTTTATATACTGTGCAGTTCACTTAAAGTGTACAGTTCAGTGGTTTTGGGTAATACAGATAATGTGCATCCATCATCACAGTCAATTTTAAAACATTTTCATTACCTTAAAAAGAAAACTTGTACCTTTTATCACCTCCTACCTCACAACCCTCCTCCCTAGCAACACACTCATCTACTTTCTATCTCAGCATATTTGCTTATTCTGGACATTTCATATAAATGGAATCCTACAATATGTGGTCTCTTGTGTCTGACTTCTTTAACTTAATGAAATGTATATGATGTTCATCCATTTATATTCTTTTTTATGGGTATACCCTATTTTGTCTTTTTATTCACTGGTTGATGGGCGTTTAAGTTGTTCTAACATGGAACAGCTGGTTGATGGACATTAAGTTGTTCCTAACATTAGGTTATTTTTGGCTGTTATGGTAATTGTGTCCTGCTTTTTTCCGTTGACAGTATGTCTGGGCAGATTTTTAAAATTAACACTTAAAAATCTGCATTTTTTTTTTTTTTACTGCAGTCTTAAAAAACACCATATATATTTTTTATTGTAGGATATACTGTCATTTACTTAACCAGTAATATTAATGGATGTTTTTGAGTTTTTTCTGATTTTTCACTATTATAAATAGTACTTCAGTAAATACTCTTCCACATTTATCTTTGCATATGTGTTTCTGTAGTATAGATTTCTAAAAGTAGAATTGCTGGATCAAAGGGCATGAATATTTACAGTTTTAGTAAAATATTGAAGACCAGAAGACATGTTTAGTCATAGTTCTATTTGATAATAAACGTCTGTTATTTGTGCGTTCACCATGTATTCATAGTTAACCAAGGAAAGCACGTTCTCCTTGCTTGAGTTAAAAGGATATGTTAAAGGAAAAAAATATTTTTGTGTTGAAAATAACAGGAACATATCCACTTCAAGGTCTAAGGTGACAAAATGGATATGCAATTCAGGAATACTTCTTGCTATTTTACTTTTCTTTGAACTAAAAACGTCGGTGGCTACTGTAAAAATCATAGAACCTGTGTGCAGGTAGTTCTGGTTAAAAAAAAAATACTGGGTAATCTCGAACGGTGGCAGGATTATAATCAGTTATGATTGTCAGTTTCAAGAGTGGTCTCTCCCTGTTTCACCAGAATTTTCAGTGTTTTGTGCAGCTGAAGACACTGAAGCCAGATGGGTCTAGACCTGAGCTCCACTGCTCTGTCTTCTTTATTTTTTGACATATAAATGTGTGTATATTTAATATTTATTCATCTGTTATCAAAGCTATAAATTAAGTTTTTGACAAGGGGACAATACAGCTTGGGTTCTTTATTAGACGCTTCGAAAATTTTTTTTAAAAGACAGTTGTATGTGTATATAAGTGTGTGTGTGTGTGTAGAGAGGGTACAGTAGTGCCATTTGAAGTAGTAAAAAGTTTTGCTTAGTTTGTGCTCAAGAAAAGGTCATGAGTAATAAATATTTGTGTTAATAAGTTTGTGAAATTATTAAAGAATAGTGCTTGGAGTCAGATTCAAGTTTTTTGACCTCAGTAAATGAATGAATCCCTAAATAGAAAGAAAGGATAAATGGATTTGTAATCATGTAGGGTGTTTATATTTAGTTGTTAATGCCTTCTGAGGCAGGCTTCTTCTATATCACATCCTTATTAGAATGAGTTTTCCTTGTCTTTCCAAGTGAAGACCTGAGGGATGGAATAGCTAGTACTGTTTCCCAGGGTGTATTATTGCTGCTATATTAATATTATTATATTGTATTAAATAAATTAATAATCCTCATTTCCTTATTGGGAATTTTAACTAATATGTTATTGGGATATCTGAAGTTCCCGGATAAAGGGCTTGCTTCTTCAAGGTCTTCTTAATAAAAACCCAGATTTCTGAATATAATTTAACCTTTTCTTGATTGCTTAATGTTTATAATACTGTAGCAGTAAGCAAAATGCTCAGGACCTTATTACCTCAATTACTAGATGGTCTCCAAGTTCTTATCTCCTTTAAAAAAAAAAAAGATTTTTTTATTTCTCTTGTAAGCTTGGTAAATAGTATTTCTAATAGTCTTTGTGCCTGTTTGAATAGCTCTTTATTCCCAACTCGCTTCTAATTTGAATATGCGTAATGCACATTGGGAACCCAGATAACCTGACTGGTTAGATTTTTTTTTAAGATTTTTATTTATTTATCTGAGAGAGAGAGAGTGAGTGAGTGAGTGAGCACAAGTGGGGGTGGGGGAGGGGCAGAGGGAGAAGGAGAAGCAGACTCCTTGCTGAGCAGGGAGCCTGACTGGCTCCATCCCAGGACCCTGGGATCATGACCCCAGCCGGAGGCAGAGGCTTAACGGACTGAGCCACCCAGGTGCCCCCAAATATGACATTTTATTTTATTTTATTTTTAAAAGATTTTATTTATTTGAGAGAGAGTGCATGGGCGGAGAGGGGGAGAGGGAGAAGCAGGCTCCCCACTGAGCAGGCAGTCCCACATGGGGTCCATCCCAGGACCCCAGGATCATGACCTGAGCTGAAGGCAGATGCTTAACTGACTGAGCCACCTGGGTTTCCCCCAAATGTGACATTTTAATTTATTATATATATGGCAAAATAATTACTTTCATATTAGTTTACAAGTTTGTTAGGGATCACTTCAGCATAACTGGAATTTCCTATGTTTCTTGTTTTTGGTGAACTGTGAAAAAACTAGGTTTCATTTTGTGTAATTCTTGCTTATTGTATTGCTATTTCCAGCAAATATATTGAATTCTTCACTATTTTATTTTCACTGAAGAAAAAGAAAAAGTACCAGTTGTAAAGAGTTGTTGAGCTTAGTTTATTAATAGTCTCTATTTCATTTATAAAATTGGTGTTTCTGTTTTCTTCCCTATGACTTACTAATTTAGCATTTATTGGAATCAATAAATGGCAGTAAAGGTTTTCTAGGATTGTGTAGTGGTCTTGTTCTGTTAATTTCCCATTAGTTGGGGACGAGGACTAGCCGATGAGTGTTACTGCTCTTTTGTTAAAATTTTATCTCTTTTCTCACTTCTCAAGTTGTTTAAGTTTACTAAAAGACTTTTATTAGCTATTAGCATTTTGTGGTATTGAATGTGTAAGTGATTAGTAATAGACTATCTTGACTCAGAAGTCAAGATTTACTTACTTTAAAGTAGGGACTCTGCCTTGAATAATCAGGAATCCCTTAGTGCATGTTGAAGGAATTGAAATGGGATTGGTAATGTATTTAAAAAGATCCATGGTTATCTTTTCTAAATTATGCTGCATGTTATTTTTTAAAATTTCAGACTTAATTTAATTAATATACTCTCATGAGTGATTATAGAATGTGTGCATGTGTGTTTAATGTGTGTATATGTGTATATAATAAATTGTAAATGTTGTCAAACTGTGTTGTATTCCTTTGATACAGTATGAAGTCATATAATGAGCAACATTGGTTTAATTAAGGAGAAGTTGCTCATCTGAGCATTGGAGTTGCATATTGGTTAATATAGGGTTATTCTTAAGTCATTTTGATCTTTTTTTGTTGTTAAACTAAAAATTTTCTTCAATTTTAGGGGGAAAAAAATAGTGGCTTTGATGTCCTTTACCATAATATGAAACATGGACAGATATCAACAAAAGAACTAGCAGATTTTGTGAGAGAAAGGTATGTATTTTTTTAATAAGTACTTTAACAGTCAAGTTAAATTTTAGAATATAAATGAGAAAAAAAATTTTGTTTTTGAGAGAGAGTGCATGCTCTAGTGGGGTGGGGGGTGAGAGAGAGAGAATCTTATGCAGGCTCCCAGCATGGAGCCAGAGGCGGGGCTCAATCTCAAGACCCTGAGATCACAACCTGAACCAAAATCAAGAGTCAGACGCTTAACCAACTGAGCCACCCAGACGACCCAGAAAATTTTAGTTAGATCTGGATTAAAATAAGTACACTCTTGAAAAGTATAGTTATTATAGTTTTATTTTAAAGTAGTGTGGTTATCTGGCGTCTAGACACTAAGGGCTGCATAGTGGCTCCAAGGAGCATTGCTGAACTCCTGGTTTGTATTCATTGTTTGTAAATAACATTACAAACAATATGAATGTAAATACATAAATGTGATACAGTAGAAAAACTGAGGAATTTTGTAGGATAAAATATTACCATTTCTTTAAACAAACATGTCATTAAACATACTAAAATAATTTGATAAGTCTAAGGTTTTTGAATTTGTAGCTTAATTATGTATTACTTATTTACTGATTTATTTAAATTTTAAGTAGGCTCTATGCCCAGTATGGGGCTTGAACTCACAACCCTGAGATCAAGAGTTGTATGCTCTACCAACTGAGCCAGGCATCTGCCCCTCTATGTTTTATTTTAAAGAAGTATAAGTGTATATTTTAAAATTCTGCAAATTTATAAAATGTGATTGTCTTTAAGACTCTTAGAATATAGTAGTCAATTTAAAAACTTAAAAATCAATGTAATTTGATCTGATTAAAGCTATTTTATATAATACATTAAATGTTAGGCGCCTGGGTGGCTCAGTTGGTTAAGCGACTGCCTTCGGCTCAGGTCATGATCCTGGAGTCCCGGGATCGAGTCCCGCATCGGGCTCCCTGCTCGGCGGGGAGTCTGCTTCTCCCTCTGACCCTCCCCCCTCTCATGTGCTCTCTCTCTCTCATTCTCTCATTCTGTCTCAAATAAATAAATAAAATCTTTAAAAAAAAAAAATAATACATTAAATGTTAAAAAAAAAAAGCTCTTTTGTGGCTAGGCCCACTTAGTAATTTTTATATGAGCACACTTAAAATGTTTACCTTAGTAATATGGGGATGTGTGTGTTTGTGTGTGTGTGTGTATGTGTGTTTAAGATTTTATTTGTTTATTTGAGAGAGCACAAGCAGAGTGAGGGGCAGAGGGAGAAGCAGACTCCCCACAGAGCATGGAGCCCCATGTGGGGCTCATTCCGGGGACTCCAGGATCAAGACCTGAGCCAAGGCAGATGCTTAACCAGACTGAGCCACCCAGGCACTCCAGGGATGTTTTGCCTTTAGATATAATACTCCAATTTGGGGGGCACTTGGCTGGCTCAGTTGTTGGAGCATGCAACTCTGAGTCTCGGGGTTATGAATTAAAGCCCCACCTTGGACGTAGAGGTTACTTAAGAAAAAAACAAAAATACAATACTCCATTCATTTATTCTTTCAATAATATATATCCCATGTCTGCTGTGTGCTAGGCACTTGTCTGGATTCTGGGAATATAGGGGTAAAGATACAGCTTCTGTCGTTAATAGAATTTACCAGATGGTAGGAGTTGAGGAACAAGCTGTGTTATGTAAGACCAATCCTCTTTTCGCTTTCACTTCTCTTTTGGAGTTAAGAGGGAGTCCAGAAGCTCTAAGTGCTATGGATAAAGCTGTCCTTCACTGGCTTCTACCTCGTCATTGGCAGGAATAAAGAAGAGGTCTCAGAATGCTGCGTCTCCTGGCATGTCCTCTAGCCTTCCTTCTCCCCCAGCACTTACATCACTAACTATAACTACTTTGAAATCGTCAGGGCAATTGTCATCATGCCTTTTAGCCTATTTATGTCAGTCACCCTAAGAAGTCCACGACTCCTGAGTCATCCTTTCTTGTCTAGACTCTAATCCCTTTATGATTCTGTGGGCTCTAAGACAACCCCTCCTTCTACCCCTTTCCTACTTTAATGTTTTCTTCATAGCACTTATAACCATCAGATATGTGATATTTATTTATTTGTCTGTCCTTCCCCTCTAGAATATAAACTCCACAAGGGCAGGATTTTTTTTTTTTTTTTTTTTGGCTGCTTATTACTCTATCTCTTGCATTTGGGAGAGTGCTTGGCTCTTAGTAAGGATTTTTTGATAGATGAATCTCTGACTTTACTGCCCTGATCCAAGCTATTATTATTGTTGCCTGAACTGCAACAGTAGCTCCTATCTATCTATCTATGTTCGTTCTTGTTCCCATGCAACTTATTCTCTGCACTGTAATTGGAGTGGTTTTTCTAAACCGCAGACAGGTTGCTTACCTCTCCTGTTTAAACCATGTCAGAGTCTTCCCATTGCTCTTAAGGTGGGCTTGCCTTATCTTGGTCTGACTCCAGACTACCTTTCAAGCTTTAGTACATGCCAGTCTCCTCCTTATTCTTTCCTCTCCAGAGACATTAGCCATTATATTGAAAGACATCTTCCAGTCCAGGCTTTGTACATGCTTATTCCTGTTTTTGCCTAATTAATGACTGCTTGTTCTTCAAAGGTCAGCAGTGTGGTCCCTTCTTCATGGATGCTTTTCCTTATTTCCCTGACTCGGTCAAAAACACCTATTATAGTATCTCTCAACATCATATAGCTCTTTGCAGTATTTATAAAATTTTATAATTCATTTTTTATTATTTGTTTCTATGTTTCCCTCTAAAGGAAAAATGATATAGTATTCTCTTGTATCCCAGTGCCTAGTACAGAGCCCGGCACAAGTAGATACTCCTGTTCCTTGAAGGAGTGAGTGAGAAAGAAGGCAAGAAAAGATAGACACATAAACATATAGTGTGCACTAAGGGTTGTGCATACATTATCTCATTTAACTATGAAAAGTCCAACTCCCATTTTACAGATAAGAAAATTGGGGCCTAGAAAGGTTAATTTCCTGTCAGTCATTCAGAGTTTCTCTCCTCCCTTCATCCCCTCTTCCTTACTGGTCTGCTCCCTTTTTCCCTCCTCCATTCCTCCTTTGGTCCTTTTTTCCTTTTTGTCTTTCCTCCCTTATTACCTTCCTCCTTCCTCTCTTCCTTCCAACAGCTTCATTGAAGTATAGTTGACATACAGTATACTATACATTTAAAGTGTATAATTTGATAAATTTTGACATATACTCATGAAACCATCACCACAATCAAGGTAGTGAACATATGCATCATCCCCTTTGTAATTTCTCCCTCCTGTCACTCCCCCTCATCCCTGAGCACCCACTCATTTGCTTCTGACATTTAGGTTAGTTTGCGTTTTCTAGAATTTTATATGAATGGGATCATATTGGATATACTCTGTTATCCAATACTTTCACTCAGTATAATTATGTTGAGATTGATCCATGTTGTTGCATATGTCAATAATTCATTCCTTTCTACTGTTGAGTAGTATTCTGTTTATGGATACCACCATTTATCCATTCATCTGGCAAAGGAAGTTAGTTTTACCTGTTTTTTGAACTTTGTATTAAGTATATCAATTTAATCATATAGTGAGTATTCTTTTGTCTTCTTTTACTCAGCATATTTGTGAGATTCATTTTTGAGTTTAGTATAATCATTTTCAATGCTATATGATACTAAATTGTATAAATATGCCAAAATATATCTGCTACTATTGACAGACATTTGGATTGTTTCCAGTTTTTTTTGCTATTACAAGTAATATTGCTTTGAATATTCTTTTACAAGGGTCTTGCTACACATATATGTATATTTATATTAGGTATATACACTAGAGTAGAATTTCCAGGTCATAGAGTTATGTATGTGTAACTGTAGTAGGTAATGCCAAAGAATTTTCCAAGGTGGTTGTACCAGTTTACACCAGCAGCAGCCTTGTTTCAGAGTTCTAGTTGTTCCATGTCCTCATCACCACTTGGTATTGCCAGTCTTCCAATTTGAATCATTCTGATAAGTAGTAGTACATGTCTCCCCCACTTTTCAGAAGTTTGTGTTATGTCACTTTGCTCTTATGAAAGATCTACATCAGTACCTGTTTTTGCTAACCAAGCATAATCCTAAGAGGATTTTTGCTTTTGCAAAAAATAGCAAAATGAGAAAAGAGCATTTGGCGTTAGTTTTGCAGTGAGCTCTTATGGGGGCAGTGTGCACAGGGAAGGTGGCACTGCCAAGCTCCTTCCCTGGGAACTGTGCTCAGTATCAAGCCGCCATAGTTTTGAACTGTGTCTGTGAGCATCTGTGCCTTAGCTCAGTTTATTTTGTGCATCTGTTAGCAGGATGTGCTCTACGGTATCAGAAAAGCCTAAGAGGGGTTATTTTTTGGGTCTGTTAAAGCTCAAAATTTTTCCCATGTAAATTAGTGGTAATTGCTTCTTTGCTTTATGCCATTTTGGCTTATGAGAGATTTCATAGGAAGGCTGTACTTTTATTTATTTATTTTGTTTATTTATTTATTAAAGATCTTATTTATATATTTGATAGAGAGAGTGGAGAGAGAGTACGAGAGGGGGGAGAGTCAGAGGGAGAAGCAGACTTCCCGCTGAGCAGGGAGCCCGATGTGGGGCTTGATCCCTGGACTCCAGGATCATGACCTGAGCCAAAGGCAGACGTTTGACCAGCTGAGCCACCCAGGTGCCCCAGAAAGCTGTACTTTTAGGTGGTGAGGGATACCTGTATCTCATTGTGGTTTTAATTTGCATTTTCCTGATGGGTGATGATCCTTTCATGTGATTATTGGTCATTTGCATTTTCTCTTTTATAAAGTACTTGTTCATCTTTTTTTCTATAAAATATTTATTTGAGAGAGGGAGAGAGGGCACATACTCGTGCCTGTGGGGGAAAGGACAGAGGGATAGACTCCTCAAGCCAGCTCCCTGCTGAGCGTGGAGCCCAACGTGGGGCTTGATCCCACGATCCAGGAGATCAGGACCTGAG